TTTTATAGTTCTTTTTATTATACAGATATTTTATTGTATACATATTAGGTACACAGTTTAAAAAGAATGAAAATCTTGTTCTCTAGAACATGGGAAAGACAATAAAGATATATAAATGGCATGACACATCCATATTACATACATAGTTCAACTACTCTGTTATAATTTATTTGAAACTGTGGAGTGATATAGAATATATGCCACTTAATTATTAGTTCAGGGCCTTTAAAAAGCAGTTTTATTGGTGGTATTTATGTGTAGAGAGAAGAAAACTGTTCTCTATATGTAACTATCAAGTCTCAGGGGACATGATTTAAGATAAGAAAGCCAAGTGTAAGTATTAATTATTTCAGAAATGCTACTTACCTGACACTTCTTACACACACATTCCTTCCTGAACTTCATACTAATATAATTTATAAACTCTTAAATGAAGCTATGGGAGTTAAAAATTTAACATCATCCAGCTACAAAAGGAACTCAGACTAGATTTAAAGTTTGTAATATTCACTAAATTTGGTATTTTTTTATTATACAAAGTACCTTCTCTTAGAAATGGGTATTTAGTTAAATTATTCTTTCTTATGATCTCAGCTAGATACAAGTTTTATACATCTTTGCACAAGTTTTATACATTTCATTGTACAAGTTTTACACATCTTTGCCTAAACCAAGTATTTTATTTTTAAAATTCTATTATAAATTTAAGGGCTTTCTTTATTAAATAAAAATAATGGATTTTTATATATTGACCTTGCAGTCTACAGCCTTGTTGAACTTTCTTACTGTGTCTGATGGTTTCTGAGGATTTATTGGGGTTTCTGAAGTATGGTCACATCATCTGGGAATAGTGAAAGTTGTACTCTCCTTTCCAAACTGGATACCTTTAAAAAAAAAAAACTGCCCAATTTTTCTGGCCAGAACCCCCCAATGCAGTCTTGAATAGAAGTGGCAAAAGCAAGAGTTGTTTTCTACCTGATTGTAGGTGAAATGCCTTTGGTTTTTCATGATTAAGCAGTGCTACATTGTTATAAATTATTTTTATCATGTCAAGAAAGCTTCCTTTTATTCCTAGTTTGTTTAGAATTTTTATCATGAGCAGGCATTGAATTGGGTCAAAAGCTTTTTCTGCATCTATTGAGGTGGGTTTCATCCTTTATTTTGTTAACATAATGTATTGCATTGATTTATTTTCATATGTCAATCCAACTCTACATTCCTGGGATAAATCCCACTTGGTCATGGTGTATAATTCCTTTTTATGTATTACAAGATGCAGTTTGCTAATGTTTTATTTAGGACTTTTTAATTTATAAGGGATACTAGTCTATGGTTTTCTTGTAGCGTCTTTGTCTGCTTTTGATATCAGAACAATACTGATCTCATAAAATGAATTCGGAAGTGCCTTTGATCCATTTTGAGTTAATTCTTTTGTATAATGCAAGGTATGGATCAAAGTTCTTTTTTGGCATATGTACATTAGCCAAGTTAATACATTTGTTAAAAAGACTACTTTCCCCACTGAATTGCTGTTTTTTATTGTTGGAAATCAGCTGACCACATTGTGTGCTTTATATTCTGTTCCACTTATTTTGCATCTGTCTTTACATCAATACCACATTCTCTTGATTACTATAGGTTTATCCTCTGACATCTTTATTAAAGTTTCTTCCCTGCTACTGTATACCCTTGCATTTCTGTGAATTTTATAATCACTTTTTCAAAATTTTTTTATTGTAGTAAAATAGAAGTAACATTGGCATTTAGAGAGATTGTTCATAGCGTCGAGTTCATTCTCACTGATAGACAGGCATCACCATCATCTGTGTCTACAACTTTGCTCTTCATCCCAAACTGGAACTCTGTACTGATGAAATAACACATCCTGTCATCCCTACCTCCTAGCTCCTGGCAATCACCCTTCTGTTTTCTCTCTCTGAATTTGACTACTATAGGTGCCTCATGTGAGTGGAATCATAAATATTTGTGTCTTTATGACTGGCTCATTTCACATTGAATAATGTCTTTGAGTTTCATCTATGTTATAGCATATGCCAGAATTTCCTCTTTTTTTAAGGCTAAATAGCGTGTGTGTACGCATGGGGGACACATTTTGTTTATCCATTCATCTGTTGATGGACAGGTGGGTTATTTCTACCTTTGGGTTATTGTGAATAATGCTGCTGTCAACATTTGTGTACTCAACTTTCCAATTAAAAAGAAGAAGGCTGGGGTTGTGACTCAGTGGTAGAGCACTAGCCTGACATGTGTGAGGCACTGAGTTCGATCCTCAGCACCACATATAAATAAATAAAAAATAAAGGTACATCAACAACAAAAAAATATTTTAAATAAATAAAAAGAAGAAAGCCAACTAAGGTATTGCACTGAGTCAACAGAGGAGCTCAGGGAAGAACTGACATCTTAACCCTGAGCTTTCCCACCCGCACACCCGGGCCTGTTTCATTTTTGTTTCATCTTTTATCTCTCAACAGTGTTTTATAGTTTTTGGAGTAAAAGTCACTGACATTTTTCACCAGGTTTATGCTCACGTTCTTTCCAAGTGCTGTTTATTAATGTTTTTATTTCCTGTGGTCACTAGCATGGGCAGGTACCATACATTCTAGAAGTCGTTCCTGCTCCCTGAAACCTCACCAAACTCACATATTAACTTTTTATGTGAGTTATTATCTTTTTCCCTGGGACTTTCTGTTTAAATTGTCATGTTACCTACAAATTAAGACAGTTTTATTTATGTCTTCTGACCTGGAGGCCTTTTATGTGTTTCTGTTCTTTTCTCTGCCTATCAGTCCTCGCCAGGACCTGCGTGCTGTTTAGCAGCCATGGCCGAGCAGACGCCTGACCACACTCCTGACTTAAAGAGAAAAGTGTTCAGTCTTGCACCATTTGTGTGCTGTTGGCTGTAAATTTTTAAAATAAATGCCCTTTATCAGGTTGAAGAAGTTCCCTTCTACTCCTAGTTTGCTGAGAGTAATTATCCAAAATGGATATTGGTTCTTGCAAAAGAAAAAAGCATTTTTCAGTGGTTTTTCTTTTTCTAGTTTGTTATTGCATAGATTATATTAATTGAATGTGAAACCAACCCTCTTTTGCTGGGGGTAAATCCCACTTGGTCGTTATGTGATAGCCTCTTCATGTACTGTTAAATTTAATTTGCTAAAATTGAATTAATGATTTTTTTCAAAGTTCAATAGGGATATTGATTTGTAGTTACATTCCTTGGACTGTCTTCATCTGGATTTCATGTCAGAATAATACTGGCCTCAATAAGTTGAGAAATATTCTTGTTTCTTTAATTGTTTGGAAAAGCTTGTGTAGAATTGGGATTATTTCTTAAGAATTTGGTCAGATTCCTCTGTGAAGTCATTTGGCTCTGGAGTTTCCTTTGTTGAAAAGATTTCAGGTGGGCTGGGATATGCTCAGTGGTAGAGTGCTTACCTAGCATGCATGAGGCCCGAGGTTCAATCTCCAGCAGAAGAAAGATTTTAGCCACACTTGATTTTTTTATTTATTTATTTTTGGTACCAGGGATTGAATCTAGCGGCACTTAACCACCGAGCTACAACCCCAGCCCTTTTTAAATTTTTATTTTGAGACAAAGTCTCAAAATACAATTGCTAAGATGCTTAGGGCCTCACTAAGTTGCTGTGGTTGGCTTTGAATTTACAATCCTCCTGTCTCAACCTCCCCAGTCACTGGGATTATAGGCATGGGCCACTGTACTCACCTCATATTTTATTTTTTTGGGAGGGTACCGCGGATTGAATTCAGGGGCACTTGACCACTAAGCCACATCCACAGCCCTATTTTGTGATTTTATTTATTTAGGGTCTCACTAAGTTGTTTATTGCCTCGCTTTTGCTGAGGCTGGGTTTGAACTCATGATTCTCCTGTCTCAGCCTCCTGAGTTGCTAGGATTATAGACATGCACCACTACGCCTGGCCATATTTAATTTTCTTAATAGGTATAAATTATTGATGCTGAGTGCAGTACCTGTAATCCCAGCTACTGGGGAGGTTGAGGCAGTAAGATTGCAAGTTCAAGGCCAGCCTGCATAACTTAGTGAGCTGCTGTCTTGATCTACTAACATTTTATAATTTATAACTTTTACAATTTTGGATTCTAAACTCATTGCTGTGGGCACTTGAACAGTGAGAATTCTGTGAAACCTGGATTTAAGGAATTTACCTTAAGATCAGTTTTATGTTTGCCTGAGATTTGATTTTTTTTTTTTTTTGTATTACTGGGTTGTAAAAGTAGTGTATGTTCAAGTGATTAATTATCATTAAAGAATTTTTTTCCTTGACCCATAATTCAGGTCAACACATATAAGCTTCAGTGTTTTTCTGGGCTTAAAAGTGGACTTTTTCCCTGTTGCACATGTATTTATCGGTGTTCTCCAAAGAAACTGACTCAGTAGCAAAGATGGATGTATTATGAGGCACCAGTTCATGCCATTGCGGGAGCTGAGAAGCCCCAGTCTGCTGCCCCAAGCTGGAGGCCCAGGCAGACCCCTGTCATGAGTCAGTCTGAGTTTGAAGGCCTAAGAGCCAGGGGAGGTGATGGTGTGGATCTCATTCTGAGGCTGGAGGAGCTGGGATGAGCTCTCCTGTTCAAGCAGGCAGAAAGCCAGAGGGAAGAACTCCTCCCTCCACCTTGTGTTCTCTCAGGCCCTCAAAGGACTGGGTGAAGGACCTACTGTGGGGAGGGCAAGGTGCTTTACTGAGTCTACCAATTAAATGAAATTGACCAAATTATGTTTATGTACAAATATATCCAACTTATGTATAATTGTAATGTAACAATTTAAAAACTAAATCTCAACCAGAAACACCCTTATAGACACCCCTTGAAATAATGTTTAATCTGGGCACCCCATGGGAGCTCAAGTTGGAGCATAAAATTAGCTATGACACACACATTTTCACCAAGGATATACAGCTTCAAGGTTCTTAAGTAGCCATGGAAGTTTCAGCTCTCAATACAAGACTTTATTTAAGTTTTATATCTGGTTGGAGTTACAGCCCATTCTACCAAGGCTACCATGTTCCTAGCCACGGCAGTCCCCAAGGTAGATTAGCTCTGACGGTTTTTTCTTCTTTCTAAATGAGCTCAGTTATGCACTTACAAGAATGTTGTTACATTTTTCCAGAATTTCTCTGTGACTATTTGGTCCTCCATATTTGGTCCTCCATATTGCCAGAAACAGAATTTTCCCATTTACTTCTTAATCTTGCATCAGACTTGCATCTCCACAACTTCTCTCTTTTTCAAACACCACTGATGACCGGGGGACAACTGTCAAATCCCCCAGATGCGGTTTCAGTAGGAATGTGTTCCAACCATACATAATAAAATACTTTACTAAAGGTGGTTCAAACCATAAAGATCTGTGATTTGTCTAAGACAGACAGTCCCAGAGTCAGTTTGCCAAATCAGTTCCATCAAGAACCTCTTTTCCCCTTCCTTCCACTCTGACATCTCCAGTTTGTCAATTTTTTTTTAACCTCCTCACATAATGATTCTCTCCTATAACTGCATCAAAGTACAAAAGGTGGCAAGAAGAAGAGCATTTCTTCTCACAGGCCTCTGGAGGATCCAGAATTTCCACACAGACAACGCTTTTCACCCCTCTACACTCCTGTACCTATCCCTGGAGGAGTACTTGTAGCGGGAGAAAGGAGTCCTCTCCAGCTGTTGGAGCAGAAGTGGGGCTCAGCAGACAAAGCACTATGCCTCGCCAACGAGGAATGTGCACAAGATTCCTGTCTGAGGCACACATTTTCTGGGGGAGGCAACAGAAATGCAAAGTTCATGGTCACACAAACTCAGGTGTATAACGCCAAGTCCTCTGTTCACCCAGACCTCATTTCTACCTGGAACTTTCTCTGTCCCATGGGAAATTTAATCCTGTACTATGTCTGCCACAGACCCCTTCTCTGCTCTCACCGGATAGAACCTAAGAGATCAAAACTTGTGGTTTGGAGCAGGCCTCTTCCTCTGAGGGGCATTTAACACGGCTGCCCAGTTGGTCTTAAATATCATCCTCCTCTGCTTCAACAAGGCCCAAATAGTAAAGCAACAGCAAATCACACTCTCTCCTAAAGAAAGCATTCCACACAATGAGCACAATGTCTGGTGTTTGAGCATCAGAGCTGACTGTCAATCCTAGGGAGGAGGGTGACTTGAGACAAACCACTCATTTGACCTATTGTAAATCTGAAGCAAAGAAAAATTCACCCAGTTGAATCTATTTGGAGATGATTAGATTGATTTTCCTATCTTGAGCATAATGGGGGCGGAGACAGAAGTTTGGGTGTGGACAAACGGAGGACTTACCGTTTTTGCATACCAGAGTGTGTGTGAAGGTGAAATTTGCATCTGTCCCATCTGTTTGCACCCCTTCCTCGAGTAGACAAGTTGCACCTCGAGGCAGAGGCTGGTTGTATGCGTTGCTGCAACGTCTCCCCCTCCCTCTGGGCTCTTTGCGTGCCCAGCACAGGACCTGCAGCACAGGAGGCACTCTACCCAAAACGTCTAACAGAAGGTCTGAGTGAGGAAGAGAGGCCCCCCAGCGGGAGGACACACCTAGCAGACGTTTAAACCAAACCTATTTAATTGTCTCCTGATGAAGAGAGAAGATGCGCTGGCACACCAGAGACGCCTCTGCACACAGCCAGGGCTCCAGATAGATTCCCAGGTAGAAAGGCGACAGACTTGGCAGAAAGCCAGACCGGGTCCCACCGGCCTCCTGCTGCGGCTGCGGGGTGGGAACAGGCCTAGAAGGTTCAGCCAGGGCAGCCTCCCCACCGCCCTTCGAGGCTTGGAGGCTGCGGGGAGGGAGGCAGCCCCGTTGGGCTCCCCGGGGCGAGGCAGGGTGGTGTGAGCCCAGACGCCCTGCGATTGCTGGAGCAACGGTGGCGACACTTGAGTTATTCACAAAGGCTGGGATTCAAATGAGGCTGGCACCGCTCCAAGTGGCAGTAGCTGAGGAGGAGAGAGGGAGGCGTATTAACTATTCATCAAGATCTTAGCGTCGCGTCGCGGGGACTCTGAGGATCCTCCATCTGCGTCCCTCCCTGTCACTGATTTGGGCACTTTTATCTGTCAGTCTGGGAGCAGGGGTGGGGGTTGGGGACTGAAGTTAGGCCGAATCGTCGCATCACATGATGGAGGACCTGTATCATGTGATGGCTCCGGTGATGTTGGAGGCGGCATGTGACTCCCGGGGCTACGTGGGCTCGAAAACAATTTAAATACAAAAACACAAGCAGGTCCCTCCTCTCCTTTGCCTTTTGGTCTGGCTCTCCCTGCCTTTGCGCTGGTGCCTGACCGAATGGGCAGCCCGTCGCCGTGCGGCCACTAACCTGTGCGCTCCGGGCACCTGGAGGCCGGGCCCTCGCTGGCCCCGGCGCCCGCCCGTCCTTTTGCAGCCGCGGACTCCGCGCCTGGTAAGTTGGGGCGATTATCCGGGAAGCCGTCCTCCGCGCCTCATCGGCTGGCACCGGGGACGTCCCCGGGCACGTTGGAAGGCAGCGCCCGCCGCAGCCCGCGGCCCTGCCCAGCCACCGCGGTCCCCGGGAGCAGCGGCGGGCGTCGCGCGGTCCCGCTGGGGCGGAGGAGAGCCTGCCGCTCGCCCTCGGTCCCCAGCCTGTGTCGCTCTCGGCCTCCCCGAGTCCACCTCTCACCTCCGCCCTCTGCAGCCCTCCGATCTCCTTTCCACTCACCCCACTCGCTGTCTCCCCAGGGGTTTTCTTGGGAGTTCCTCTCACCCCGCTTTCCAAAAAAATGAGAAAAAAAAATTAGATGCCTAGGGTTTTTGTTGTTGTTGTTATTCTTTCTGTCCAAAAAGAAAGGGACCAGCTTCGTCCATTAAATGACTTGATGATTGGAAATGTACTGACTGTCCCTTCAAAATCATTGTCTTCACCAAGACCAGGTGGATTGCCCACTTCCTGTCGCGGTGCTGTGCGCACCTAGGTGTTAAGGGACCTGAGCGCATTGCTTGTGACCATCCCTGCTGTCTCCCAGGAGGTTGTCTGTGGGCTCCCGAGGCCGGCGCAGCTAGGGGCTCCCCCAGTGACAGGACACACAGTGACAGCCCAGAGACGAGGATCTCTGACACCACACATTTGACTCTCTGTAGGAAAAACAGGCCCAAAGGCAGCAGCTGAACTCCAGAGCTGGGTGCTCAGGGGACATTCAGGTGTCGCAGGCCACACCTGTGCAGAACAACGCAGAGCACTGGCTGAGAAACTAGCCATGGGCAAGCCGGATGTAAATTCAGTCATGGCTGGTCTGTAGCCACAGGCACAGGGGATGAGGGCCAGGCCCGAAGCTGCTGGTTCACTGTTATCCGGGCATGCCAACATCTGTCCAGCCCCCCAGTTAACAACCCATCCACAGCTCAAGGGGAGGGTGCTATGTTTAGCCTTATTTTTAGAGATGGGGAAACTGAGGCACAGAGCAGTTAGTTCACTTGCCTAAGGTCACTCAGCCAGTCAGGGACAGAGGTAGGACTTGGATCCAGAGCCTACACAGTTAACCACCATGGTAGTCTTTCCCGCAGAATAGCCATCAACAGTTCCTACAGGGCAGCTACTGTGCAGATTTGGGGGCTACACTGGTGAACGAAACAGGGACATCTGTTCTGGTGGCATTCGCAATCCATTGGGAGTGGCAACTATTAAACATGTCACATGAGACAACACGTTTCAAACCGGGATATTTGCTAAGGAGGAAAACAATAGGGTACCAGGGGAATGTATCCCGGAAGGCAGAGTTCAGCTGGGGGAGACCAAAGGGGTTGCAAGAGGAAGACCTCTCTGGTGATGTGATGTGTAAGTTGGGATCTGAGAGAGCAGGTGGAGTCAGAAAGAGCTTTCCAGACTGAGGGAAGGGCCTGGGGGAAGGCCTGGAGCCTGGGATGACTTGGGCAGCGAGGAAGGTGGTGGGCTGGGCAGGGGTGCAAGGGGGCCCATGCCAGGCAGACATTCCAGATGGCATGGGACTCTGTCGGCCTTGCTCGGTGACTTTAGTTTCATCCCAGGATCAACAAAAGCATTTTAAGCAGGAAAGCAGCAGAACAGGGTTTGCAGCATGAAAAGAATTCTTTAAGAACTGTGTCTATGCTAGGCGCAGTGGTGCGCACCTGTAATCTCAGCGTCTTGGAAGGCTGAGGCAGGAGGATTGCAAGTTTGAGGCCAGCCTCAGCAACTTAGTGAGGCTCTAAGCAACTTAGTGAGACCCGGGAACTAAATAAAAATTTAAAAGGGCTGAGTGTGTAGCTCAGTGGTTAAATGACCCTGGGTTCAATCCCTGGCACCAAAAAAAAAAAAAGTGTGTCTATTTGTGTTACATTACACACTGCTTCAAAGGTAGAGGCTTAAATCCACTTCTGCTTGGCTCCTTATTCTGCAAACTGGCAATTGCCACTGGGATCATCTGGGCAGTCCCATTCTTGCCTGGGTTCATTTGTCAAGCGAGTCGGCTGATGGGCTGTTTGAGAGCTGTTCTCAAGATGGTCCTGCACAGGTGTCTGATGATTGGCAGGGGCAGCTAAAATCAAGGGGGCCTCGCCTCTCTATGTCTAGTGGGCTGGTCCAGCCTTATTCATGGGACAGCTGGGTTCCAAAAGCACCAAGAGAGGGGAAACCCCAGCACACATGCTTTTCAGACATCTATTTGGATTGTGTCACTTTTGCTCTGTTGGCCAAGACAAGCTACAACCTCAAGCCCATACTCGCTCATGGAGAAACGTACCTCTTGGTACAAAATATTGTGTCTGTTTTTCCCCAAAGTGACTACATGGCTTCAAAAGATAAGCTGGAGTCTGTGTCCCTCTAATACTCGGGGTGGGGGGGGGGACTGAAAGCCAACAGGAAATTTGGAGCCAGTTTTGTGAGTAGAGACGTACTTCTCCCTGGTTGTGTAGCTGACTTACAACAGCAGAAGTCTGAGCGTTTGATTTGGATGCAGATCAAAGAAGTGTCTAGAATAGGGTGGATGTGGTGCAGTAAGGTCTCCTTTTCTCACAGGATTATTTGGGAAGGTTCTGGAGTTCAGGAAGACCTTTGAGATTGTTACTCTTTAATGAAATTTGGGCCATACGGAATTCAGTGTGCTGAAATTTTCTAGGCAAGGCAATAGCATGTGTAAAGGCCCTGGGGCAAAGAAATATGTGGCTGTTTTGAGAAATAAACAAGAGTCAGTTTAATTTAGTGTAATTGTCATGTCAATAGAAAGGAAATGGGAAGATTAATAAAATATTTAAGAGATCAAAACAAAAAATCTTGCTGATGGATTAGGTACAGGAGCTGAAGAGAAAGACCTATTATAGGAGATCCCCACATTGATGATGCTATTTACTAAGGTTGAAAGACAGGGAAGATTTGACTTTGGAGGTCAAGAAGACAGGAGGAAATCACGCCTTCCATATTGGACCCATTATATTTTCCTTCCCTGTGAGATTGCTAACAAGATAGGCAATAGACAATGGGAATCGGACTCAGAGATTTAGAGGTGATATGTAAACTTGGAAGACGAGTTAGGGTCACTTGGAGTGTAAAGATAAAGAGAGAAACCAAAGAGGGGCTAATCTGGAACCCCAGGCTGCCCCAACATTTAAAAATCAGATGAAGGAGACACCCAGATAAAGGAGACCAAAAGAGAAGGAGGGAAACCAAACAGTCTCGCCAAGCCAAGACTGGGCGTGTTTCAGGATGAAGACGTGATCAACCCTCTGGAGCTCAGTGATCATCCCGGAGAGAGGGAAATGAGGACAGATGCAGCAAGGGGCAGGGTTGCCGGGCCAAGCCGGGAGCTTCTTGAGAGCAGAGCATGCACTCCAAATGGTGTCGCTTTCCCCAGTGAAGTGCTTGGGCTGAAGCATCTGAGGATAGCAGGTCTTTTTGAGTAAAATTCCATAGAGAAGAAGGCAGTGTATGTAAAGGGTGGTAACAGAGTGATTGGAAAGGCGAGCCACAGACTCCCGGCTGGACCAGAGTGGGAATGGAAGAATGGGTGGAGGGTGTGCTCAGGGGAATCGGGGTTAGACTGCAGGGAAAGAACTTCATCCTTGAAGGCAGAAATGCAGACGATAGGCCCCTGCCCCAGACCTTCTGAATCCAAATTTGCTTCTTCTCCTTCTTCTTCTTCTTCTTCTTCTTCTTCTTCTTATTATTATTATTATTATTATTATTATTATTATTTTGGTATCTGGGATTGAACTCAGGGGCACTGGACCATTGAGCCACATCCCCAGCCCTGTTTAGTATTTTATTTAGAGACAGGGTCTCACTGAGTTGCTGAGCACCTCGATTTTGCTGAGGCTGGCTTTGAACTCATGATCCTCCTATCTTAGCCTCCAGAACCACTGGAATTACAGGCATGTGCCACTATGCCCGGCCCAAGTCTGCACTTTAAATAACACCCAGGGTGATTTATATGCACACTAAATTTTGAAAAATATGCATCTACATTGTTTTATGAAGCTTTTCTGGGCAAAATAAGGAGATAATCAACCCCCAAATATCATGCTCACTTCTTCCCCCTCCCTTTCCAAACAGATCTTGATAAGGCAAAGTCCAATCTCCTGGGTTCCTGGTCTTTATTTTTTTATTATGCAAAATTTCAAACATATACAAATATAGTTTAATGAAGCCTAGTATGACATCATTAACTTCAATAATTTTCAACTTATAGCCTATCTTGTTTTCTCTATATCATCCCTCCTTCCCAGTTTTATTTTGAATCAAATATTGGACATGCTATAATTTCATATATAATTTTATTTTTATTTTATTTTATTTTTTTACTGACTATCTCTAAAAGAAAAGGACCCCTTTTTAATTGTTTAAAAAAAATGTGGGCTGGGGATTGGCTCAAGCGGAAGCGCGCTCACCTGGCATGCATGCGGCCCGGGTTCAATCCTCAGCACCACATACAAACAAAAATGTGTGTCCGACAAAAACTAAAAAATAAATAAATATTATAAATAAATAAATTTAAAAAAATTTTAAAAAATGTCTTCAGGGCTGGGAAATCAAACCCAGGACTGTGTACCCGCTAGGAATGTTCTCTACTACTGAGCTACACCCTCAGCCTCAAGGAACCCTTTTTAAACATAGCTATACCATCACCACCATCCCTAATCAAGAGTAAATATTTATCATGAAATAACCAGTCAATTACCCCCTGGCAATTGTCATATGATAATTTGAGTCTGAGTATTTGAACAAACCTATACATGGCGATTTGCTAATATATATTTTAAATATTTTGTAATTTATTGGTTTCTTCTTTTCGTTTTATTTTTCCCCTTGAAATTTTGTGTTACAGAAACACAATCGTTTGTCCTCCAGGTTTTCCAAAAGTTGGAACTTTGCGGATTACTTACTCTTGGTATAATTGAATACATTCATCTGTCCTTTGTATTTTCTGTAAACTGGTAATTAGATCTAAAACAAATTGCTTTTGGAAAAGCTTTTTATTTTATTTTTATTTTTAATATTTTTTAGTTGTTGATGGACCTTGATTTTATTTATTTATATATGGTGCTGAGAATCGAACCCAGTGCCTCACACATGCTAGGCAAGCATTCTACCACTGAGCTACAGCCCCAGCCCCCTTGGAAAAGCTTTTTAAATGAGATGCATCCTTCATAAAATGAGCAAAGTATATATGTACAGCCCAAAGAATTGTTAAAACCACCCATTACCTTTGAAGTCCTCCAATAGCATCTTTCTTTACCCTCCCTAGTAGCTACCTCTATCTTAACTTTTGCAATAAGAATTTTTCTGCTTTCTATAGTTTTATCACATATGCAGACATTTTTTAAGCAGTGTACTATTTAACTCTGACCATTTGAGGTGTTAGTGTAATCGTACCGTAGATATTCTTCTATGACTTCTTTTGCTCACGATTTTATTCTTCTAATGAGAGCATCACAGTTGTACATGCTCACTGCTTTATTTTTGAAGCTCATCCATGTTTATATATGTTTGCTCACTTTCACCAGTACATAGTAATCCTTTATGTGCACATACCACACTTTAGTCCATTCTGCTCTTGATTGGCATTTGGAAATTTTTTTTCCAGTTTCCAGGTGTT